GTATCCTATATTTCCTTTGTCGTTGTGCATGTCTAAATACAAAAGAATTCATCCATGTTGAGAGCACCTTGAAGAAGATTTATTACTTTCTTGTCGTAAAGGACTTTTTTTCATCATCTTCATCCCACGAACTTTCAAGCTTGGGGTACCAACACCATTAACAACACTGGTAGGAACAAATAGACCATCTACAACTGCTTTCCAAACTTATTTTCCTTGAGATCCTAGATGCGTCTTCATGTGTATTTTCCAGAAATCGAAATATTCACCATAAAATAATGAAGGCTTGTTGTTGCTACCACCGTCTTTGAAAATTAGATTTGCATTTGTGGAAACCATCCTCGATATTTAGGAACAAATTAGCTATAAACTGCTCTGATGTCAACTGTAAGTACAAAGTGCGCCTAAGAGAGAGGGTGAATTAGGATTTTAAAACTTTATCAGGTTATATGAATCTTGGTTCTAACTTTTTTGGTTTGGTTAGGCGATGAAAGCGTTAAAGTGAGGAAACTAAAGAACATAAGAGATTTATATTAGTTCCCCTCATTATCAGAGAGTACGTCTAGTCCCTTTATCACATATAATAGATTTTATTATTGTTACATCATCCTAAACAAGACTCTAACCAAGTTATGAAGAATAATCCTCTTGAAAACTTACACCATAAGAAAAGAAAATAATACTCTCTTTTCTTGCACACACTTGTTTCCAACAATCTTGGAAAAAAATAAGCAACTCACTCACACAATCTTATTTCCAACAATCCTGGAAAAATAAGATGTTGGTACAACAAGAGATTTTTGAGTAGATAATTTTTTAGTACAAAAATACTTTCATTTCTCAAGTAATCTCTCACAAGATTTCTTTTGGTTCAAGACTGCACAAGGGTTAATCAACTCAAGACACCTCCTCAAGCACTGATGACTGAAAATTAAAAATTAGGGTTTGAGATTGCACAAGGACAAATGGACTTTTAATGTCCCATATAACTTTCATGGATCATTTTTGACCCTCAAGATTGCTCATGTCAAGTTTCAAGTCTTGGATCACATTTTTGCTCAGTCAATTGACCAGTTGACCTAAAATCAACTGTATTGGGGAAAAAGTCAACTATGATCAATTTACTGTCAAACTTCATAATTTTTGGTCCATATAAACATCATGAACTCATATATGTCATTTGATCAAGTTTGGATCACAATTCCTCAAGAAATTTGATCAGATCATCAAAAGGGCAAAATGGTTAAAATTAGGGTTTTGACTAAGAAGGTGCAATTTCTGATTTTTGACCTAGAAAATGATTGATTGGTTTAAGTTATGATCTAAATGTTTCAAATGCTTCATTTTTACCTAATGACATGGCTCAAAACATTTCTCAATAACAATTGATTGACAGATGAATTTCAGTTAACTGATGAAAAGTCAACTGTACACTAAAAAGTCAAACTTTGGCTTTTTGGTCAAAATCAAATTCCAAAGATCACAATTCATCAAGACATGTAAAAATATGAAACTTGTTCATCAAGAAATCAAAAAGTCAACATTTCATTTTGAAAAGTCAAAATTTCTAAACTTAGAAATTTTTCTAAGTGTTGAAAAATTCATATTTTTCCATAAATTTGAGCTAAATTTTCACCATGATGCAAGATGATTCAAAGGAAACTTCCAAAATGAAAGTTGTAAATATAAATGAGATATAAAACATTGTAGAACACAACTTTTTCTAGAAATTCATGGATTTCAAGTTATGATTTTGTGAAGACATGTTCATGAAACTTGGAAACTTAGTGAAATTTTGCTCTAGTTTAGGCAGGATTTTGACCTAATTTCATGGCAATTTTTCACATAGTTCCAAGATGAATATTAAAAAATGTCCAACATATAGGTTGTAGAGGATGTTACAAGATTTCTAAAATGTCCAAAAACTAATTTAGATCATAATTGAGCAAGGAGAATCGAAGGCAAAAAGTTAGGGTTTTCAAACTTGAATTACAAGCCATTTCTTGATGAACACATGAACCAAATACATGCTAGGCTGAATAATCTTTGCTTTGCAGACCTCAAACTTGTTTTTCACTCCATAATTAATGTTTTTCACAGCTGCTAGAAGCTTTAATCCAAGCCTTCAATGTATTGCCCATGCTTAATACCACTTTAGGAAGAAAGACAACATTGACATTTTTGAAAAGTGGCTTTATGCACAAAGTCCACTCTTCTTGAACCTCTAACTTGTTGTTCTGAACACACACAACATGTATGCTCAGAAGTAACATGTTTAAAGCTTGTAACCATTCTAGATAGCTTTGTACTTGTGCATTGGAACCACATTTCTCAAGCTTTCTTCAAAATCAAGCAAAAAGCCACAAACATGTGATTTTGAATTCTGATCAAAGACAAGCCTCCAAACTTGTTGCTTATAAATAGAGTCGCTATTTGTGAGCTAAGGTACGAGCTCAAGCACCCTGAAACTCTCCCAAATTCCCTCAAATCAGAATTTGCACCAAAATACCATTGTTGCACAGTTTCTGACTTTGAACTTGTAACTTCCATTTCCCTCGTGCGTTTCTTGGCCTTTTAGTTCCTAAAGCTCATATACATCAAATATAACCTATTCCTCACCCTGTTTCATCACTGTAACACCATTTTCACCAAACTCCATAACCAAAAACAGAGCATTACAAGTTGACTTCTCTAAGCCATTCCAGCCATCCATTGCTCAGGCTAATCATTGCATTAGCTTCCCGGGACTTGAGGAAGCTAACCTGATCATCACAACTCCTTGAAAGTAACTCAAACTCATTTCACGATTTCCAGTTTTGAGGTATATTTTTTGAACTTCTATCTTCTCATTTAGGCATTGTTAGGCTTGCATTTGTGAAGATAAAATACAGACATCATTGCCCTAAAACTGTACATGTCCATAGATTTCATTTATATTGCTTGAGTAGTGAGAATTTTAGGTTTGAATCTCTTAAAATAATTAGGTCAGAATTTAGTACTTTTAGAAATTCTCATTCATCTTTGATTTATAACTTATGATATTTATATGGTTGGATTCGTATGGAAAATGGACAACTTTCATGTTTGCATATTTCATTTTTGTTGAGAAATAGTGAATTACAAATGTTCAGGCTGGAGGTTGAAGATGAAGTCATATTCAGGATTTGATTTGTGTTATATGTTTATTATTTCACTAATGTTACCGGATGTACAGCCACCCTAATGGCAAAGGTAGTGATCTAGCAAAATATAGTTCACTAATGTTCTTACGAACGAGAACTATTACAAAGTTTGCCTAAACGAAGGCGCCTTTTCAAAATACTTTCAAAAACCACACAAAATATATTTTCAAACAAAAGCAAGTGATCTAGCAAGCAACTAAGAGCCCGTAGATAACTATGGATGAAAAGGGTGATAATACCTTCCCTTTTCATAATCTACCCCCCAAACTCAAGAAACAATCTCAAAGGTCTTTTCTGTTCTTTTCAGCCTTTCCTTTTGGATAAAAGAAAAGTCGGTGGCGACTCTTGCTAACCGCAACATTTACGATAAAATGCAAAACACCCAAGTCAGTTCTCCCACCGTATCACAATCATTATGTTATGTTTTGTACTTTGAATCAAAATACAAAAATAAAACTTTGTTATCTTGGAGAACTTATGAAAATAAGATGAAAATACCATATGAACAATGAAATAAGTTGTTTTCACAAGTCTTCTTAAACAAATAGTCTCACTAAACTTATGCTAATAAGTAAGTTAAAATAAATCAATGCAAACAACTTTTTAGTCTCATTGATTTTTTAGTTTGTTAGTCTATTTAAATATTATTTGAATTGTTTATTTACATATGTCTAAAATAATAGGCTTTTACGTAGGCTAACAAGCTAACCAGGCCTCAGAAAAGGTCAGACTCAGACTTAAGAATAAACCTATAACAAACTGCTGGCAAGACTTACATTTCATTTTTTTTTTTGCAGGACGGACTTAGATTTGGCAAAGTTTAGTTCGACCCAGTCTATTTTCACCTCTATAAAAAGAAAAAAAATTAATTTATTCATTTTCACTCTGAAACACACCGTACTAATCAAAATTTAGTAAAAGTATAATTACGAAAAACTTAAAAAAAAAATTAAAATACAATAATAAAAAAATTCAAAAAATAAAAGTTAAAAAAAATCCATATAGAATTTAAAATAAATTTAAAATAAACAAATTCATCACCTCAGAGATCAAAGAAACAGAATCTAAACACTACAAAGAGAGAATCAATTATTTTTATAGTGGATTAACCAAAACTTACTAACTTTATAAGGGGTATAACATATTTAAATATATATATATATATATATATATATATATATATATATATATATATATATATATATATATATATATATATATATATATATATATATATATATATATATATATATATATATATATATATATATATATATATATATATATATATATATATATATATATATATATATATATATATATATATATATATATATATATATATATCAGTATTATATTTTTCTTTATTGTAAATATAATCATAAATAAGATATTATTACATCATTGTCAAACTAAATAAATAAACATTATTATTGCAAAATTTTATAATTTTTATTTGTTGTATAAATCCGATATCATTTATGTGTAAATGTAGAAGCTGATTTCTTAAATTGAGGAAGAGTATTTAAAATGACAAAACTCTTTTAAAAAGAAGTAACATTGTTACATTTTCAAGGCCGATTTTGAGATTTAATACTATTTCATTGTCTTAAATATATTCAAACCAAAAACTTCTAATTAAATTATAATAGACCTATGTCATCTTATTCATGTGTTGTTGACTAAATATTTTGTCCTCATATTCATTGTTTCTTGTCTTAAAAAAATTCATTTGAATATAATTTTTAAAAAATATATTATTTTCATCTATAAAAATAACCCCCACTCTTTATTCATCTTCAATTTCTCTCTTCTCAAATGGATTCTACAAACCCAAATGATGAAGCCAATTGTTCAACTCCTCCCACAAAAATCAATAAAACATTCGAGCTAAATCCAAATGCACAAGAGTGGGTAGGAGGAGCCAACAAAAAAAAGCTAAACCCAAATGCACAAGAATGGACTCGAGTAAAGCAAGAGGATAGGGGTCTCTTCCTAACACTTTCAAATCATGACACATCAACAACACAAAGAGACATACATACCTACTTTAACAAGTATGTTCCTTTTTTTCTTTCTTTCACAATTTGGATAAATTTACTATTCATATATCTTGATTAAAAATTTACCTCATACTTCATGATCTGCTAATTGTGTATACGTTTGAGTTTAATTTCATGTAACCCTAGCAATTAACAAAGCCAATTAAATTCACATGTTATTTATCTATCCAATTTATATATATGATTTCTTATGATTTTTTTCCAGTAGATATGGTGACTGCGTGCAATCAATTGGGATGTTTGGAGGTCAAGATTCACCACTTTGTGCTAAAGTGCTTTTCAAGTTTTCAATCATACCAAGTTTGTTTTTGAATAATTCAAATGAAGTTTATATACACATTAATGGCCAATCAGTGTTGTGCAAGAAGTATGATCCAAAGAAGAAACAACACCATCAAGGCTCGATCCAGAATATGGAATGAACATTTAAGAAAAAAATGAACAAGGAAAAATAATTAATAACTGTGACAATAATGAAAATTTTAGAATTGTTCTCTAGATATACCAGGGTTCCATCTAGCTAGTTATATAGATCTTTTATATATATTTGATATAGATCTTGTCTAAATATTTATCTTTTAATATTTTAATAATGAGATGTTCTTATACATGTATTTCATACTTTTCTTTTGGAGAGTTTTGAACTGGAATATCTCTTTTAATTATTTATCAATTAAATTACTTGATGCCTTTAATTTTATTTAAACTTATATTATTTTTTATGAAAAAATAGAAAATAATTCCTATTTACCAATTAAATTATTTGACGCCTTTAATTTTATTTAAAAATTACATTATTTTTTATGAAAAAAAGAAGAAAAAAAAGCATATATCTTCTTTAAATTATGCATTTATTCTTCATCTTCTTTTTTTATGTCTAAGCAAAAATATTTATTTAAAAAAATGAAAAAGAAAAATTTGGAATATAATCAAACTAATGAAAGAAAAAGTGTTAAAGGACTCTTCAAATTAATTTTCTACCATTAAATTAGTATTATGACATTTGTGTTTCTTCTTTATTTTCTGTCTTTGTTTTAGAAATCATTTATGTATAAAAACTTTTCACTCGCTGTAGAATAATTCTACAAAAAGTTTTTTTTTTTTAAATATGAGAAAATAGTGGATGCTTGAAAAATAGAGTAGAAAAAAAACAACAACATAAAGATATACACAATTATAGCTAGAGCCTCCCCAGGTCAACAAATACAATAAATTTTGAGTAAATTACACTTTGCTCAATTAAAAAAAAAAAAGGTATATACATTGTACTATTTTAATATAAATAATATTTGGTGATAGCGTTTAACTTAAAGTCAAAATATATATTTTTATAACTTTCAATGTATTTGATGACTAGTTTTGAACAATTTATTACTAGTTTATTGGTATTAGAATAAAAAAATCAATTATAAATAGTTTTTGTATTTTATTTAGTATTGTATTGTATTTTATATATATTTATGGTCCTTTAATTATTTCAAATTTTATTTTTAGTCTTTTAAAAAATTTTATAAATATTTTTCCATCTATATTTTTGTTTTTCTTGTCAATTTTTATTAGCAAATGCTGATCTAACACGTCATATAAAAGATTTTTGATGATCGGATATATAAATGACAACGAATAATAATGCCACATCACTTAAAATCAACTCCAGACTATACAATAAAAAATGTGATAGATTGTAGAGGTTATATATTACTTAAAATAAAGCGATTGATTACCTTTACAATGCTATTTGTTGGGGGTTCAAATTTCATACCTGAAGCTCACACTTCTTCAAACACGCTCTTTACATAGACATGCTAATGCTTCTATATATCATATGATAATTAAGTACTTGCATGAAAATTTTAAATATAGGATGTTTTTTGTGTTAGCTTGGAGAAAATTTCAAGTCTTTCAGCCGAAAAAAATGAATAGTACCATGGTTGAGGTATACTATCTCTAATATATCGAGCCTACCTGAATTAACTATAAATAATAGGCTAATTCAACATCAATGTACATACACTACGCTAAAAAAGACCTACGAAAGCGCTTTTTTTGGCCTTTAAAAGCGCTTAAAAGCGCTTTCTAAGGTGGCGCTGCTAAAGGTTTTAGCAGCGCTTTTTGTTTAATGAAAAGCGCTCTCATAGGTCTACTTATGACAGCGCTTTTTCTAAAAAGCGCTATCTTTAGTACCCTTATGGCAGCGCTTTTTCTAAAAAGCGCTCTCTTAAGTAGGTTTTTGGCAGCGCTTTTTCTAAAAAGCGCTCTCTTAAGTAGGCTTTTGGCAGCGCTTTTTTATGAAAAAGCGCTTTCATTGGTGGCGCTTTTTTTGGAAAAAAGCTTTCATAGGTTGTCTTTTAGCAGCGCTTTTTCTTGGAAAAGCGCTGTCATAGGTCTACCTATGAAAGCGCTTTATGTGAAAAAGCGCTGTCATAGGTCTACCTATGAAAGCGCTTTTCTCCAAAAAGCACTTTTATAGGGTGTTTTTTTTAGAGGTATCATTTATATCATTCATATACCTGCATTGTTTGCCATAACCTGTAATTCATAAATAGGGGTAATGCATTGTAATTCCGATACCCCGTTCTCGTACTCTTTCGACAATCGATTGGAATACAACCATGTCTTATCCATGGTTTACGGTTTCTGAGTCAAAACCAATACTCAATATAACAAAACCAATACTCAATACTTTTCACTAAATTCATTTTATTCTATCAACTACTTTAGTACACAAGTATAACACAAGAAACCATAAACAAGAAACTATCATTGCTCAAAATCAATCATAAATTATGTTTGTATCTCAAATTATATATAAACCATTGTTATCTGTATTCTAACTCAAAGTCAGTCTTACAAAATCAACTCTAACAACAACTAAATCAGTCCTTATATTATTCTCTGCTCAATAAAATATTGACACAACTCCTCTTTGGTTTCTTCCAACTGAAGTTTCGTGTAATATGCACATTTGTACTCATCGAAGTACTACATAAGAAAATATAATATGCATGATTTAGTTAAAAGTAAAAAATTATATGGAATATCCGAGAAATAATAAAACAAATTCTAAGTTATAAATTCATACCGTGACTGGAATCTCTATTTGATTCAGTTGAATGATTTCTTTGATAAGCCGCATAACGAAGTATCCGTAATCTATACCGTTTTGCTGTTGAGGACACTACATAGAAAAACAAATAAGAATATATAGTTGTATTGTTTTATCAAATAGCGTAAATATTATAAGCAAAATAGTGGAAATTAATATACCTGCACTTTGATCCAATTAATGTTGTTTGATTTAGACCGTCGTACCCGAGCTTCTCTTTGACACCAGAATACTTGTATCGCTCTAACAAAATTAAAAATATATATTTAGAACAATGTCACAGAAATAATTAAATACATAAATACACATAAATATTTAGAATAATCTCACTTACGTATCAATCATTAACTTCATATCCGGATAATTTGTCCAATCACCGTCAACCGAATTCAAATAATAGACCACTTCTTTTATAGGATCGATAGCAACCAACAACCAGTGACGTCTATAAATTAAAACAACAGTTTAGAAGAAATTTTTCTACGCAAAAATTACAAATATTAAAATGAATTTAGAATGAAAATCTAACCCTGTAGGAATAGTATTATACGCCCAAAGATATAAGCTTTCTGTACTGCCAGTTGCCATGAATCTTTCGACTAAGTGCTCTCTTACTGAATCTGGTTCCCTACCAATTGTCGCTCCGCTGACACGGGAGGAAGACACAAAATGGAATCCGTTTGACAATTGATTCCCGCACATCAATTTGTCATATAACATCCTTAAATAGAAACATAATTAATATTAGAGTATATTCATTGAAAGTGTTTAAAAAAGATTTCAGCTAATTACATAATATAAAGATGGGGTTACCGGATGTATGCGTGCATAATACTGACGCCCAATTCTTTATGACGGAAAATCTGTTCCACGTCTTCATGTCCAATTATTTTTGTGCAAGGAAAACCAAAAATACCTTGATCCATATCAATTTGACGAATACCACCATCCATCAAATTTGTTGTTCCCACTATTGTTTCAAGACACTGCCGGTATCGAGGGAAAAATCTAGTAGGCACCCTTTTCTTGGGTGGTACGCCAACGATTTTCTGGCTCACTTGTTGTGACCCATGAAAAGGTACCTAAAAATCATATAAACTCGGTTAAATTATAAAATTATGCAGTTTTTTATTCGGATCATATAATTAACACTTTAAACGTACCTCTTTTGGTGATACGTCAGACTCGTCGTGCCGCAAAATCCCTTTACCCTTAGATGCGGGTGTTGTAGGAGTCTATAATTACCGTGGAAATAACTGAGGTCAGAACTGACAGTTGAAGACTTAAAGATTCATAATTGTTTTCAACATACATGATCATCTATGAAAATGAGGTCGGATGGCCATGCAACAAAAGATCCAATTGCATCTCGCAACAATGTGGTCTCAGCAACAATGTCAGGTACCGGCAGCAATGCATCCATATCTAAAGCAATGTCAACCGATACTTTCATGTGACCATCCGGAAGCGCTCTATTATGAAGTAAATCTCCCGAACTGTTATGGACTTTTCCCTTGCCAACTAGTTGATAAGTCGGTGACGATAGGTATAGCTGGCAAGATGAAATGCCCTAAACCAATAATAACCGTTAGAAGTGACTAAAAATATTCTATAGTAATAACGGATATATATTTTGAAAATTACCTCGGGAAATTTATGCTGAAAGTTGATACTAGCTTTGTCACTAGTTTCTTTCAAGTGTGAACTGCTCTTTTCCGCCATATATCTCTCTTTATCCTTCTGCAATTCACGAACTTGAGCTTGTAAATCCTGCAATGTTTGCATCACTTCTGCATTGCTAGGATTTCTTCTCCTTGGATGCTTATACAAAGAGGTTGGAGTCACACTATGACCTTTACCCCTCACCCGACCCGGATACTCAGCAATATTTAGTGCTCGACTAAGTACGCTCCTGGTATCGTGAGGATCCTCACCTGGGGATACCGATTGGGACAAGGTCTCCTGTAATTCAATTACATATAAAAAATTATTAGTGGAGATAAAAAATTACTTAAATATTAATAAACATTAATTGATTTAACTAAAGACACAATCTTATACTTACACATTCATCATACACATGTTGAATATCGGGATTAACAACTTGATCCTTGCCCACACGGACTTCCTTCCACAACAAATGTGCCGGTAGTGATGTTGCGTCACTTTTCGTCTCTTCTAACTACGCAATGACGGAGGTCTTAAGATCATCAACTATATAACACATTGAGAGAATTAATAAGATCGTAGAGTTTATATTTACTTACAATTTTTTCCTCTAAGCGAGCATATCCCAAACGCCCTTTTTTGTATGGA